TATCCATTGCAAGCAATATTTTGATAATTGTTTATGTTTTGAGGGTTGGTGCACAGGTAGATTGAGGTTAAGGAAACGCCACTGAATGATATGTAAACACGTGAAGTCCACTCTAATAAAAATAACCATAAAAGAGAGCTTAACGTCGTGTTCGGGGTATTGTCCAAACCATTTGTGGGATATTTTACCCATCCGGGATACAGTTCGTTTATGGTATTTGTTTATTAGGGCAGATAATTCGTCGTATCATTTGTTCCTCTGTTGTTTAAATGGTTGACGGAGTACACACTTAGTTTTTTTTCTACCGAGCTCGGCTGTGCAAATCTCGGCAAAAAAAGTTTCACTGAGATCTCAGCAAAAGTGACATTTGACTGCTGACTTTCGGAAAAAGCTTAGCTGAATCTCAGCAAAAATGCAAATATGTGTGGTGAAGTAGTGTTAGGGTTTGAACGCTTGTAGCTTTGTCATTTAAAGATGAAATTAAAATCCAAATACGCCAATCGATAGGATATTACATTACAAACCTGCTGAAATACATATTTTTTTCAATTTTTCTGTGATAAACTTTTGAAAAATGTACAAATAATAATTTTATCACTGTTTTCATGAAATAAGCGTTTTTTTTCTCCTAACCCAGTCATCATAATCGAGTGCCACTTGGTTGCACATCGTTCTGAAAAGATATAAAACAGCACTGCTTTCGCGCTTCTGCTCATTACCGCTCCGGACGGCGTGGCGCTTGGTCCTGCAGTAAGCAGGAGCAAGTCAGTGGTTAAAGGTGACTTGGGTCCCGTTCAACTAAGGGGCTGTTCATTAACTACTAGGGGGTGTGGGAGGGAGGGGCAAGAATCACAAAAAAATGTCTACGTAGTTAATGAACAGCCCCTAATACGAAACGTGGAAAAGTTATTTATGCAATCATTCTACGAGCACGCTGTAAAGTATATAATGATGATGCATGGTAATTTTCTGTTAGGGTTGTCCTCCAAATTGGAGAACAAAGAGGTGCTTAAACCCCGTATAATCGTTATACCTCTTCCTTCCCTACTTCATTTACATATGAACCAACATTTTGTTCAATATTTAAATTACCGTCTTCTGACAGGTAAAACTACTGCCTGTTGCGTTATCATAAAATGCAATCTTCACTTTCTTCTCTGCTTCAAAAACTTAATTTAAAGCTAATTATGGAGCTACTGAAAAAAAAAAATTGATGTATTTTTTGGCAATTGTTATATCCCAAAACATGCATGGCGTTTTTGTGTACTATACTGAGGTGCAAATCAACAAAACATGTGTGACGAAATAGTGTCAGTTCCTTTTGTAGTCGATGTCGATGTCAAATTTAGTGTACATTGATCACAGCAAAATAACTCAACATTGATCAACCCAAGGTAGTTATGTAGGGGAAATTCTGTCAATTCTTAACCATTACATTAAATTTAAATACATTATCTCATGCGTAAGATGAACCGTGGTCTGATTATGCTAACATGAATTGTCGCGAGTTTTGAACCATAACCGAAAAATTGAAATACTTTTAAAAATTTAGATAAAGTATAATAATCAAAAATGCATGACATACATCAATTTTGCGTAGTTCTACGTCATACTGCGGTCGTGTCTAGGACACAACCCTTCAATTTTTTTTTTGAAATATGTACAAAAACAATTGGAGGGCCAAGGATTGTAATCAGCTGATAAACCGAATCAAAAGTTGCATTCGTAAAATCGATTCAAATGCTGTTCAACGCTCATGTTCTCACATCATGACAAAGCTACGTCAAACAGCTGATAACCCAAGTAGCATTACAAGTTTTATTGTGGTTTTAAAGCACTCTACCGTATGCGTGATAATGTTTGCACCATTAAACAATGTCAAAATTAAAAAAATGCTCCAAAATTTCGTTTTCGAGTTTTTTTTTTAATTATTCAAAGGGGGGATGTTTCTCAGAGTCTTAAACTATGTTAATGATCGATCGAGTTTCCACTTGCTGCAATAACGGCCTCCACACGCTTCCGGAATGCAGTACAGTTTCTAATATTGTAGTCTGGATCCATTTCTCTCCAGGTACGCGTCAATGTTTGTCTGAGAATTGCTGTACTCGGGTGGCGTTTAGAACAGGCCTTGGCCTTCATGACGCGCCATATTGAGTAATACAGCGGATTAAGATCGGGGCTGGATGGCGGATACATATCCTTCGCCCAGAACGGAAGATGTTCCTGCAACCACTTCTGAGTGCGGTTCGAAGTGTGGCACGGAGCCTCATCTTGTTGAAATACAACATTTGGCTTGGGACCGTACTGTTCTTTGATCCACGGAAGAACATACTTACTTAAAATCCCGATGTAGACCTCCGTGTTGACCTTGTCGTCTTCTGGAATGAACACCGTGTCCATTTTTTTGCCATCGGAAGCCACCAATCCAAACACCATAACGCTAGCAGGATGCTTGGTCAGATACACGTTCTTGTGTTAGTCGGTCACGTCTTTTACCGGAAGAGAACTAATATACCCGTCGGTTCTGGAATTTGATACGGGATCGACGGAAAACATGCTCTCGTCGGTGAACAGGATTACCGGATTTTTTCGCTTAAGTTCAAGATTTTCTTGCATCGTTCGACTCGTAGCCAGGCATGGAAAATCATTTGCATTCATTTCGTGCATTCATTTACATTCATTTGTTCCTAACTTTTTTCAAGAACAGAATTTCGCAAAATATAGTTTTTGTAGGTTTTGTTATTAACTACAACTATTGTTAACGACTCAAATCCGTATCTCTTATGCATGACGAACCAGAGCGAACAGAAGCCACTACTGTTTTTCAGTGAATGTATTTTACATTAACTGAAAAACAGTAACAAGTTCTGCCCGCTTTAGTTAGTGATGCATAAAAGATACAGATTTGAGTTATGAGCAAAAGTTGTAGCTAATAACAAAACCTACAAAAGCTCTATACATCATTTTGTGGAATGTTGTTGATGAAAAAAGTTAGAGGCAAATGAATGTAAATGAATGCATGAAATGAATGTAAATGATTTTCCATACCTGCTCTTAGCTCCCGGATGCGGTTGGCAATCATGTGAGTTTTTTCCGTGCCCTCGACTTCGCCTCGCAATATTCCTTTACGATCTTCCGTGCCGTAAAGTCACTGATCCCGTGTTCCTTTGCCATTTTCCTTATTGAACGCACTGGATTCACCCGAATCTTCCTTTTGATAGCAGCGATAACCCTCGGAACCCGAGCTGACCTCGGACGACCTGTGGCCACCTTCGCGGATAGTTGTCCTTTATTTTCTCGGTCTAAAACCCTTTTGACGGTCCACCGGGACACTCCCACGGCAATTGAAATGTCTTTTTGTGACATTTGCGCGTGGGACAAATCACGAATACGCTACCACTTCGTCATGGTGCAACTGTCAAACTAAGTAAATCATTTTATTTTATACACAGCCTACTACGGTATGAGCTATAGGCTACGTGCATGCAAAGAAAACCAAGGTATTGTATGCACAGGTGAAACGGGAACCTTGTTTGTACGATGGTGCAAACATTATCACGCATACGGTACAAGTCTAAATCATGGTCTACAGAACTCTCATTGACGTTATTTAAATGTTCATTGATTTTTTTGTAGAAACGTGCCGTAGCTTCATTTGAAATAACCAAATGAGTCATTTTTTAGCTATCACCCGTTACACAAGGAATCAAAAATATCTCAAAATGACAAGCGATCAACGAGCCGAATGATAACGCTATGCCAGCATTATGTTTTTTTGGTATTATAGTCACTTTAACACTCTTGGGCCATTCGTGACTTATCTGGGGGTGAGATTTGAACTCGTGACGTGAGAGGCACTACGCCGGAGTCGCCCCCACATGTCAGCAAATAAAAGCAATAATGATATACACTCAAGCCTTTTTTAAACGGTTTGTTTACGCGGTTTCTTTTACACGTTTTTTTTTACACTGTTGTTGCCACTGAATCGACATTTACACGGTACGTTTTTAACGATTTATCGATAACAGTACAAACAATCGACATTATTCAAATCACATTATCCGTTTCAAACAAATGGCATACTATAAAAAAAATCACACTTCTTGGTGTAAATACAGATTTTTTTCAATATGTCTATATGAACCATAGCATGCTAAAGTAGCGATTGGCATCAAAATCCAATTTTCAAACATATTTTTGCATGTGAAAAATTAAAATCTTGGTAGGAATTTTTTTTACACGGTAAATATCCCCGTTTCCCTTTTTTCACGACAAACTGCCTTTACAGTATAGCTCGCTTGGACCGGTAGAAGGAAACAACCAAATTATTGGCAAGTTGCTTCACGAAGTAATGCCGATGATTATACACGTGTGTTAGTGAGAATGTTTTTGTTATATTACAGAGAGAGTTTATCGTTATAGTAGTAGCAAGCGTTTTGTCTTTATCGTTTGTTGCTTTATGTGTTTAGATTCGCTGGAAATACATAATATACAATCTTTAGGGAGAAAAAACATGCATAGGGAATATAATCAAATCACATAGAGTTAGGGAAATATCGAGTTCAGAAGTAACGATGCTTGTAAAATTTAAGGACTTTGAAAACTATCGAGTTAAGGAAAATATCATACAGAGATAAAGAATATCGAATAAGGGACTGTACTTAACCTTTCAGCACTCGCGCCGTTGTACAAAGTACTACCTCCGACGAAGTACTACTCGAAAAAAAATAATTAAAAACTTACTGACTTTGGAACCTGCACAATGTGAAACTAAACATGTTTCATAAAATGTAATACCCATGTCCAATAGACCTTAAGGAATATTAGGTTTTAAGAAGTTCCCTCTAGGTAGAAAATAAAATACTGTTGTATTTTGTACAATGCGCTAGTGCTCGTGTTACAATAGTTGGCGCGAGTACTGAAAGGTTAAAACAGTTATGAAGAACATTATCTTTGCATACCGTATTCGAATAACACACAATCTTTGTTCTTTGTTTCAGAGCTGGCAGCCGCCATTCACTGTTGATGTCGAGAAACTAACCTTTGTACCACGTGTGCAGCGTCTTAATGAGTTGGAAGCGGAAACTCGCATAAAATTGAATTTTCTTGATCAGATTGCCAAATTCTGGGAACTGCAAGGCTCTTCACTTAAGATTCCCATGGTCGAACGTAAACCTCTCGATCTTTACACATTACATAAGGTAGTAAACGAGGAAGGTGGTATTGAAGTGGTAACTAAAGAACGGAAATGGTCAAGAGTGGCTTGTCGGATGGGTTATCAGCAAGGTAAGAACGTAGGAACAAATCTGAAGGCACACTACGAGAGAATTTTATATCCATTCGATATTTACCGTTCTGGTAAGATAATAGATTTGGCAAATTTAGAAACTGAACAAGAGGATTGCGAATATAAACCGCATTCAATTGAAGCACGGCAGCAGATCCAGCCTCCACCTGCTACAACAGCAAGACGATCTCAACGCTTTGCCCAGATGAATAAATCGGCCAGTATTGGTGCAGAAAATGATTCTTCCCGTACATCACCGGGAAAATATCGTATGAAGAGTACAAATGGATCGACCAGAAACAAATCAGAAATTCTATACACACCGAATCAACACGATCCGATGGCTAAATATATATGTCTTATGTGCAACCGAGGTGACGTTGAAGAATCCATGCTCCTTTGTGATGGATGTGATGCATCGTACCATACGTTCTGTTTGCTGCCGCCACTACAGGAAATACCAAAAGGTGATTGGCGCTGTCCTAAGTGTATTGTAGAAGAGAACTCCAAACCCGTTGAGGCATTCGGTTTTGAGCAGGCTCAACGTGAGTATACTCTTCAGCAGTTTGGTGAGATGGCAGACCAATTCAAATCCAACTACTTCAACATGCCTGTTCACCTTGTACCTACTGAACTAGTCGAGAAGGAGTTTTGGCGTATTGTGTCTTCAATCGACGAGGACGTTACCGTTGAGTATGGTGCCGATTTGCATACCATGGACCATGGTAGTGGATTCCCAACCAAGTCTTCCCTGTATTTACTACCAGAAGATCAAGAATATGCCGAGTCTAGCTGGAATCTGAACAATCTGCCGGTTTTGGATGAATCTATTTTGGGACATATTAATGCTGACATCAGCGGTATGAAGGTTCCATGGATGTACGTTGGAATGTGTTTCGCAACATTTTGTTGGCACAATGAAGATCATTGGAGTTACTCTATCAACTACTTGCATTGGGGTGAACCCAAAACTTGGTACGGTGTCCCAGGCAGTCGTGCAGAAGAGTTCGAGATGGCTATGAAATCTGCTGCGCCAGAATTATTTCAATCTCAACCAGATCTCTTGCATCAGCTTGTAACCATTATGAACCCGAATATTTTGATGAACGCAAATGTACCAGTATACAGAACCGATCAACATGCTGGAGAATTCATTGTAACGTTTCCGCGAGCCTACCATGCAGGATTCAACCAGGGCTACAATTTTGCAGAAGCCGTCAACTTTGCTCCGGCTGATTGGATGAAAATGGGCCGAGAATGTGTCAATCATTATTCAAAACTGCGACGGTATTGCGTTTTCTCACACGATGAATTAGTGTGCAAGATGGCTCTGGAACCGGATCGGTTGAATCTTGGTATAGCAACAGCTTGTTACATTGATATGGCTGAAATGGTGGACACCGAGAAGAAACTAAGGAAGAATCTTTTAGAATGGGTACGTATTATTAAATCATATCATTATTAATATCATATTATATTCATATCAAGACAACGATTCTATGACATTATCCCGAATGGAATCGATATCAACATTTTGGTATAATATAAGGTACACTGATCCCACAATTACGGATCACTTCCATTTGATTAACATACGCTAGACTGACTGATCCATTATTGTTTTTAGCAGATCCATAATTGTGGAGTCAGTATATGAGATATGATAGTTCAGCATTATGTGCTTTTGTTATCTACAATAATAATTATATTCAATTTTTAAAAGCATAGTACCTAACTATCTGTTGGCATCCCTGCACAAGCCAAGCGTACGCACATAAAAATCCAGAAACTCAAAAATGCACAGTACGCACAGAATTTAGATTATCGGAGTAAAATTTTACTGGGTTTTAAAACAGCTGAGTTTTCAGTAATCAATCCAGTACTTTCTTGATATAACTGAAAACTCCGTAGGGGAACATTTCAATCAAACAAACAATTTCTGCATTGAGACGTCACTATGGTTGTTCGAAATATTTTCTTTAATTCATCAAAAATTATATTCCTAAAAATACATGTATGTTTAAAATTGTACAGCACAATTGGGCATTTATGTTTGCAATGTATATTGTTTTCGTGAAATTTTGGAAAACATTTCCATTTGAATTCCTTGACGCACTTGGTTTAAATATTTTGGATAACAATATCGTTAAGTCAAAATTTTAGTGGAATAAACAATAAAAGCAGTTGCTAGGAATAGTAATGTGCCCTATTGCCCCGTAGCAAATTTTAAGAGCAGTTACGACATGACATTTTGAAAAAATCAGTAACATTTTTGGATGGGGTTTAATTTTAATTTCAATTATGATGCATTGAGGCAATGTTGTAAACTTAAAATTCGGTTCACAAAATCCTATCAATTTCCCTTAAATTGCAGAATGTCTTGTATGTGAAGTGTCCATTGTAGACGTTAAAAGGATTGCGGTTTTTTGTTTAATAAATGTATATTTAGTGTAGTAATTGTAACTTGTGTTGCAGAGTTTATCTGTATTTTTATTTCAGAGAGAGAGAGAGAGAGAAGAGAGAGAGAGAGAGAGAGAGAGAGAGAGAGAGAGAGAGAGAGAGAGAGAGAGAGAGAGAAGGATTAGTAATTTCTGACTGAGTATTAGTGCAAAACACTGAAGAAGTCTGCACGATTTTTATTCGGAAACTGAGGTAAACATGTTTAGTGGCGGAGTAGCAGTGATTCTGAACTAGTTCTGGTTGATGATTATTCGACCGGTAAGTGTGCTGGATTGCGTGCCTGGAGCTTTGAGCTCTACATGTAGCAATTTTATTGAAGTTTTGCTTTTCACGACTGACAGTCTCTTATAAAGGAAAAAAAAGAAGTTTTGCTTCAAAATCAGTGAAACATCTAGAAGTCGATGCAGAAGTGCAGAAACTGCCATAATCTCGTGGCAGTTTCTGCACTTTTTTTGACTCTTTATTTGTTCCAATATGATATATAATATATCTAAGATTTTTTACATTGTCCCTGCCTTGACAATTCAGTATTTTAAACAGTTTTTTTTTTTAAACCTGCATGTCAGTATAACAGTTGACATCTTTTCATTTTCATTTTCATTTTCATTTTCAAGCACAGAAGGGGGTCATAGGGCCAAGTCACCAGCGAAAAATCGCTGCCATACTGCACCAGGGTAGAGGTATAGATTTGGCATCACAGAATAATAACCACAGGGGTCAAATGAATCCTGTTTACGATACCGGATAGTAAGGAAAGCTGTTCAACATAGGGGATAGTCAGAGTAACAGCAATAATAGTGAAAGTTAGGAAAATAAGCAGGTAAAGATGGTTGATTTGCAATGGCTATCGACTCTGTTATATGGCCTACCGTATCAGATTCAAATTTAATGTCGTTTAATATTGCGCTTATTACTTTTATCTTTATTCTAAGCAATCTCCTTTCATACTTGTTTGTTTTAAAGTGAACTGGATGAAATGATTGTTTTATCAAAATTATGTTAAAGTTAACTACTATTCATATTTGCTAATTAATACCTAAATGTAATTTTTAATTTTATGAAGATAAGTTGCTCAGAATAGCAGCCTGTAATTCCGTACCAGAATCCGCCTCCAATTTAATGTCTTTTGTGGATTCGTAGTAGCAAAGTTGTGCTAAAAGCTAAATAGTTACCTAAAAATACTACCTAAATCGTTCACAATCAGAACCAAAACTACAACCCTGAAAAAACGAATCGATATTTTCGAAGGCGAACACAACCTATTCTTGCTAGTGATTCTGTCCAATTGTTAGGTATCCAAATTATAGTCATTCGTAAATTTATTATTGAATATATGGATGAATTATCTATTATTGAATAACTATTATTTACGATAATTACATGAAAGAAATAACATATAAACTACAAACAAAACGTGACTACTAAAATCTCAAAAAGATATTCTCACAAGTATATTTCACGCAACCAGGAATCTCAAAACCATTAGACGCTATAATGATACTCTGCACATGTTAGACACAAGAAAAGGACAAAAAGCAAGCGTCCGACACACAAAACCCGCCAAATCCACTGGCAGTCACAATCAACGATTCTACGAATCGCGAGCGCTCACGAATCATAAAACCGCTGACTGCGACACTCTGAAAGCGAAATTGACAGGCTCTATGCGTCAAACAGCCGCCCTCCAATCTCCTCCCGCATCCAACAACACAAACCTCCATTACAACATCTAACGAATTCAAAACTCCGAAAATCACTCATCTATAGAAAGTGAGTGGAAGCAACCCTTCATGCAACTATTCTTCATGATACGCTTTGTCTGTCTATCTTTCTATTAGGCCTGTGGACATGTGTTAGCTTCGAAACTTCTAACCAAAATAGGAAAATTTTGAAATCACAAAAAAAAAATTCAAAGGTAATTACAAGCAAAATACATATTGATTATTTTACGCAAAACCGAGCAAGTAATATTAAATCTCTTGTATTGTATGCTAATGCTAATTGACTGTAACAAAAATAATATGCTTAAATAAAATAAAATATTAATAAAATTATATGCAAATTTTACTAGAAGGTCATTACTTTATTGGTGAGAAGTTTCTAATAAGCCCTCCCAGTTCCTCTGTATACAGAACAATTATGATACTATAATCAGAATTGCTCAGTCTGCATGAAGCAGCCGATTGCATCAAGGAAGTTCTATTAACAACCAAGAATTAATCGTTTGAGGTATACTGAAGCATTAAGAAGGTGATATGTGTCACTATGGGAAATCATCATCGTTGCAAATATAAAGAAATTAAACATAACCCTTTGCTTCAGTACCGTCAACCTCCATGTCCATGGGGAGGGAGTATAACAGTTCACATCTTAAAACTAAAAACTAAAACTAAATCTTATCTAAGTATAAAGAGAATTAATCATTGCATTGAGGATTGCAACGATTTTTGCCTGAATTTATTAATTATTTTTTTGGACATTTGTTCTGAAGTCTCAACATTCGAAATTCTATGTACCAGGGAGGCAACTTCAAAATCATCTTCAGAACTTTGTTCCGAATCCTTTGAAGTGCTTCTTTCCTGGTAGTGCAACAACTAGGCACAGCGTAAAGCATGGCCGGTCTAAAAAGTTGATTAAATATTAGAAGTTTATTCGTGTGGCAAAGTTTGGATTTCCTGTTTATAAGAGGTACATTATATATATTTGTTACATTTGGCTTGAATGCCCTCAATGTGATCTTTAAAAGTTAATTTTTGATCTAGTACTGTCCGCTCACGGACAGTTGGAAGAGTGTGGCGATCCTTGGCTCGAAGGATCCCAGCAGATTGGCCAACTTCTCCGTCAGGAAAAATGCCGCGACAGGAACGATAGCGACAGCGAAAGCGAAAATCCAACTCTTTTGAGCCTTGACAAAGGCTATTTGATTCGGCTTGTGAGAGAGATAATAATTTAAAGATACGACAATTTTATTCTTTGTTGTTTTCAATACAGCTGTTTTAATACTAATGCTCTACGCGCGAAAGGCGACTGGTTAAATACTCTACTCTTTTTTTCCCCTTTCCTCTCGCTTTGGCGCAGACCGTGTTGGTCCATAACAGCCAAGTCTTGTAATGACAATTTTAACGTCAAATATTTTATTAATTGAAAATTCTTATCATTTCAGTGACGGGTGGCTACTAATGTAAATATTATTAAACTTATTTTCCTCGAATCAATTAGTCTCAAATATTAACTCCTATCTCTCCCAAAAAATTAGCGATTTCTTTGATTTTTTGAAAACTAGTGCCTTTACGAATTTGAACTATTTCCTCTTTTTGTATAAGTGATTGGTATTTGCAGCGCTTTGTATCATATTGCGGACATTTGTGTAAGATGTGTTATATCTTCAGTGACATTACAGTGTTCACATTTGTCGGAGGATATTAAACCCCATCTATTCAGCCTTCTTTTGTAGCTAAGTGTCCAGCCTATCTTTTGTAGCTAAGTGTCCAGTTCGTAATCGACTAATAATTATGGTGTCTCTAGTGGAAAGCTTTATATCTTCAAACCACGGTTTTAATCTTATATTTTGCATTATACTATAGTGATAAATCCCTTTTTCTTCAGATATTAACTTATATCTTTGATTCCACATGCATGTGGTTTCTAATTTAATGTTAAGTATCAAATCATCAGTCCGCATCGTGCTCTCTTGCCGTGCGGATCTATTTTTTTTTTTTTTTTTTTTTTTTTGTCTTTATTTTAGAGATTTTTAGCCTGAGGCTAGTTCATCTCTTAGCGGATCTATTTGCTTTTTGCTTAAAGGAAGTGTTACTACTACCTAAAGCTACAACAAATTTAAACAGCACTTTTCAGTGCTCAACCTGTAAAAATTTTCTACCTTGTTCAACTCCTCTTATTCCTCTTCGATCCTTGTTTGGACCCTACCCGAGGTAATCCTTCTTGGATATCGATTTGGAAAATTCCTCTTCGATC